ACCATCTCTATCTAAATAATTTTTCCTTATTTCATCTCACGAGAAGGGTTTTATAATCTATTTATAAAACAGGGTGGCCTTATAATAAAATTTCCATTCATTTAAAAAATTTATCAAAAACAAAAAATATAATAAATAAAAAAATAAAATTTTTTTTCTATTTCATTCTTTTTAAAAAATCTATCTATAAAAATAACATAAATAATTATGTATCATATTTTAACTCCCGATTCATTTCATATATTGAAATATCATCTTGATATAAATCAATCTTATACAGTTATCATTCTTTAAAAATGAAATTCATATATCAAAATTTGTTTGTCATTTATATCTTCAATTTTTGTTCGTTTTTAAAATATTTCTTTTACTATCTATAAATTCGTTTCAAAAATTTTATCAAATTTATTTAAAAAAAAAAAATTTTTAATTTATTTTCCGTCCGTCCATTTTTCGATCTTTCGAATATCCTCATAAACAATTTATTTTGTCAACAATTAATATAACTATATATATATATGCGATTAAAATTTTAAATAAATAATTCATTTTAAAACATTAAATTTAAATATCGGATTGAAATAAATAAAAAAAACAATTCTTTATTAAATTTTAATTTTTCTTCGCTTTTCGTCGAATTATCAATTGATATCATTTTTAAAACGTAATTAAAATCATAATTAAAACTCATTTTAAATTATTTTGGTATGATTGCTCATATATTTTTTTTTTTATATATATAAATACTGAAAATAATTATTTATTTAAATTAATAGTTCATAATTCCCTAATGTCTTTTAAAAACATTTATCTTGAAAATTCATAAAGAATGGTAAATTTTTAAAAGAAAATAAAAATATAAATTAATATTCATTTTATTCATAAATTAAATCAAACTCACGCAGATCGGTTGTTATTATAAAGAATAAAAATAAAATTTTAAATTATCTAAATTTCTTATATTTATTTTTATATACATAGGATGATTTCTTTTTTCTAAAATCAAAAAAAAAAATTTTCCAAATGGGTTATCCTAAAGTTATAAAAGCATTTAATATCTTAGGAGTTTATAAATGTAAAAATAAAAATTCTTGTTAAAAAATTTTTTTTTTAAAATTATATTAAATATATATATAAAATATTTTTGGTATTTTGTTTTTTCGTTTTTATTTTTTTGCAAATTTTTTGATATTTTTTTGAATTCTTGGCCTAAACACATCAAGATTAAGAATTCAATTTAGATCCAGGATCACTGTTCTCTCAGGCAGTGCTAACTCCATTTACTAATTTATCATATTTAATAAATGAACCCATTAATATATATTTATTTTATCCAAAATTGAAAATGGTGAAAAAAATTATAAAATATATATTCTTAATGTGTGTCTGTCTCTTCAGGACGTTTTCTATCTAATCTTCTTGATTATATTATTTATCTATCTATCTATATATCTATCTAATTTTGTTTGTATTGTTCATATCTAATCTATCTATCTATCTATCTATCTATCTATCTATCTATCTATCTCAAAAATCTTATATATAAAATATCTATCTATCTATCTAATCTATCTATCTATCTATAATATATTGAATTCATGTTCATATCTATCTTTTTGATCTATATATATCTATCTATCTATTCTATCTTATCTAAATCAAATCAATTTAAATATTATCTTTAAACATCAGATTCGAAATGTCTATCTCTATATATATATATCTCCTTAAATTTATGTTCTTTTTATAACATCCAAATTTTTTATTTTTTTTGAATTCATGGATCAAGTTCGCCTGGTAGGTTGATAAAATTCCCTCATGGACCTGTTATATTAAATCTGTCCTGTAAATCAAATTTTTTAAATCCTCTTTCCTTGATATATATTCCTCAGAAATTTTAATCGTTTGTCTTCCTCATGGTAAGAATAAAGTTTCCTTTTATTGCATTTTTTCTCTGAATTTCGTCTTTGCTTGACTGTTCATCCATAATTCATTTATCATCATCCAGTTGTATAACCAGATATCTTTCTGTTTTGAAATTAATTTAATCTTCATCTGTGATAATTTTTTGCCCAACATTCAAAGCTGCATAAAGAAAAACAAACCATTAACAGTCCAGAAGAAATTTTGTTTCTAACGATATTTTGTTTTTTTAATACTTTTGCTCAGCTTTTTAAATTCATAAAATATTTCGGATCCCAATGCAACTTTTAATTTCCGAAGAAAAAACTTTATGACTTTTTTATTTTTTATACTTCATATTTTAAAAAGAATTTTATTTCATTTTAAACGTATCTTTTATTTACAAACATCTACTATATGAAACCAAAAATTTAAACATATTTCTACATTATTTTTTTTAAAATAAATATTTTTTATGTTATAATCTTCTAATAAGAAATAGTCCTCTTGTTTTTCCTCGAGATTTTCTATAATTACTGTCGATAAGATGGAGCTATGCTATATTGAAATCAAAAAGGTTCATATTTTTAAAAATATAAAAACCCTCCAAAAAAAATTAACATTATTATACCAATTGTTCCAAGAAATTAAAACATTAAAAAAATTTTCCAAAAAAAAACAAACTATGATTTAAAAATGGGCAGTGGTTTTCATATCATTTTATTTTGATTCCATCGAAAAAAATTCAATGCTTCAATATTGATTGTTTTGAAAAAATAATAATATTTAATGCAGAATTTTTTAACAAACATAAAAAATTCCTAGATTCCAAAAATCCTATTTGGTTTTGAATTTTAGAGATGTTCTTTTTAAACTACTTTACTTCAATCAAATCTAGAAAATAAAATATAATCCATTGATTTTTATCAAATATATATAGATTTTATGGGATATAAAAAATATATCATATCAAGAAAATACGGTTACGAAAAAAACGCAATAACCTGTAATAGAATTGAAATTCGATATTTAAACTTTTTTCAATACAATAATCTTACGCTAATATTATTGTTTCTATCATTCTATCTATCTATCTATGTATATATATATATATATATATATATATTTGCACCTTGATTTAAAATGCTCGCATTTTGACCATGAGATAAATTCATGTTTTTAATCTCACCATGGTCGATTTGTCAGGAAAATAATTTCCTGATGTCATCGGGTATCGATGAATAGCGAGACAATTTGAAATCGTTTTGAATAAATATATAAATTTAAATCGAATATAAGCATATGAATTGTTGCTATTTAAAACGGAACCTTTATCGGTCCGTCGATAGATAACATTATCGTGAGAATATTTAAAAATTAAATTTGATCAAATTTGATTGAAACGGTTAATCACGCTAGATAACACCTTTTTCCTAAAAACAAATAACTTTATATGGGCGTTGATATAAATATACAAATGCGCCTTTAAATTTTGAAGCATTTATATAAAGGGATTTATATATACAATATATATATATATATATATATATATATATATATATATATATATATATATATTATACCGGGTGTATATCAAAATTGTCCAAATCGTGTAAAAGCAAAATTGTCCAATTGTTATATTAAACTTTGAACCGTTGTATCTTAGAAATGATTAAAGATATCTTACTGAAATTCTCCGAGGTTTTTATAACACTATTGGACTCTACTTTGAGCAATAAGAATGTATAATTACTCTCAAAACTTAACAGAAGAATCGTGATGAAATCGAATTAAACAAAAATGAAATGTTCATCATTAATTAATCATAGCTAAGGATCGGAAGCTCATGAAGGATTGAAATAAAGTTCAATATATATATATATATATATATATATATATATATATATATATATTATATATTATTCCATTTCACTTTTTTCAAGATGATATTCACCTCTAACCTTATAACGTTCTGTCCTGGAGTAACAAAATGCCTCACAGGTTTCACATACGATTTCATTTTCAAGTTTTTTTTTTTTTCACTCTTTTGGACTGTCATAGCTGAAACTCCTCTCTCACGTGCCAAACGTCTTATGGATTGAGTTGGATCTTTTCTAATTGATCTCTTTAGCTCTTAATTGAAATGATGATTCCTCTTCCTTTTGTGACCTCCTGATCCAGATTTCCTATCTACTGCTTCCTCTTTTATAAACTCATTCACCGTTCTCTTGATGGTTCTTAAATGGAATTTAGTGATGGAAGCCAAACTATGAATGTTGGTGCCATTACTGTAGGCCTGAATGATCTTTTTCCTCTCACCATTGCTCATTTGAGACGAGAGTGGGACTGACACAACACAATTTTAACCTATTCTCTTTTTAGTTGAGTAACTCAAATGATTTTCAGTGCTTATTGCGACAAAGGATGTCAAGATGGCTAAATGTCTTATCTGAAAACCTGGAAAAGTTTACATTACTAAGGTACTGCCTTTCCAATGACAATATGTTTTTGTAAATGCTTTCTTCATACTTCATGTACCGTAATACTTTGTGTATAGTTTATATATAAAGAGTGGGATATGCTTTTAGAATTCCCCTCAGTTTTGTTGATTGCTACTAATAATATTACTGTATACTGTAAATAAAGCTGCTAGAATTAAAATTCATTTGGTATTTCATTCTGTGCAATCATCATTTACCGTATACTATGGTGCATCCTGTCAAAATAGTTTAAGAATATTTAACGGAGATAAATTATTATTATAAGATAAAAGAGAGGGAGACATAATAAGGAACACAACTGAAATATATAGATACGTCTCAGACAAAAGAGGTGCCACTGAAAAAGCAATACCTCAGCGATATTAACACTTGTGAAGATGAACGACAATTGGAGTAAGGAAAAAAAACAACATTGTTAATTCTTCATTTATATAAGGTATTTGTAGATTTTAAGCGGCACGCATAGTGAATGACGTTCTGTTGTTTATGTAAAAACAGAAAGACAGAATCTAGGTTACTGGAAGCAGGCTAAAGAAGCTTACCTTTACCGTTAAGATTAGCCAAAGGTACCCTGCGAATACCTGCCAGTAAAGGTAA